CAAAAAAGTACTCCAGAGTGTTGTTCAGCATGGGGGTGAGTAGAAAATGAAGGCTAATCATGTTTTGGGTGTACTATTCCTTTAAGTCGGCAGCAATACTCATAAGCTTGATAAATGTCTTTTCTAGGTTGCTTGAATCTCTGACGTCGGGAACAAGCCTTTTCTCTGTTGTTTGTAGAGCTACCAAGACCCGCCTCAAAGTGACTCTAAACTAGTATTCCTATTGGTGCAGTTTTCTGTCCCTCATAACCAGAATATTTATCCATTCTGGATCCATAAAATTCATAAAGCAATTATTTATATTGTATTTTTTGTCAGTAAAATTGTTAGATTTGTTCTGTCCAACTCTAGATGTTATTTTTTTTACTAAAAGGTTGAATGTGACCTTTAATGCATAAGATATTTATAATTAATTTCTCTCTGCTCCTTAAACTGAGTTGTTCTTCCAGACACGTTCGTAGAAGCCGTCTTCTCTCCTTGGTTTCTGTTCTTTACACTCCTGAGGTCAATAATCTAGAAACACTCGGTTCGGTACACAATGATACGATAAGACTCTCTGGGGGTCACGGCCCTAACGTTTCCAACAGCCCCCAGTCTGACCCTCCCTTTGAGATGACGCAAAATCTGTTAAAAATAAATGATTTATTTTCCTTTACAAATAAAAACAAACATTACTCTCATGTCAAGGGTAAAAAAAAAAAAACACCTCAAAGAATTATATAAACCTTTGATATTATACATTTTACATAAAAATTCAGCTAAATTTGTGCTTAAATGATGAGAACCAGTCCTTCCCATGTTTTAAAGAGCATTTCCCTAACAGTGCATTTTCATATTTTACATTTTATACAGTTGGTCAAAGAATAATCCATCCTGCAGTTAGACGGCGTATCCGTACTGATGGTCGTATTTTAGAGAAGTTCTGCCTCCCGCCGTGCTCGGTGCATTGCTGCCAGCGGTGAAGATGGGGCCCGATTCGTGGATCCCGGACAGGTTACCCCTCACTGAACTGTACTGCACCCCGTGGTGGGTACGGTATCCCATTACTGACTGGAAACTGGAGTGCCTGCTGGTGGGTCTGCTCTCGGGAGCAGGGGCATCCTCCCTGTGAAAACAAGGTAAAAACAGGAGCCTCCATTAGAGGATGCTCTGATCTGGGATTTCCGCCCATCACCACCCGCGGGCACCAAACACTCCCCAGCTGTGATGTAATACCTGATTTCATTTGCTGCCTCCTTCTGGTAGCGCTTCTTTTGGCAGCAGCAGATGAGGAGCCAGATGAGAAGCAGGAGGAGGAGGAGGAGCAGCAGGGCGCCTATCACCGCTCCGACTATGACGCCCACTTTATTGGTAGCTGGAAGAGAGGACGCAGCACCAAGACATCAAACCACTGGATCCCCTTCTATACATATCATTTGATTTCATTGGAGGCCTTCACTGATTTCCTTTTTTTTTTTTAAATAAGGTCTCCAGCAAAATAGAAAAACAGCATAAAAAATAAAAAGCAGCTTGGGGGTATTTACATGTTCAGAGTTTTGATTACATGAATCTCATGGACTTACGGTTGTATGCATTTAGTTTGTATTTGCACTGCGCCTGGCCCACTGCATTTTTCACCTCGCACACATACGTCCCGGTGTTACTGTCTGTGTGGTTCTTTATGAGGAGCTCTCCGGTCTCCGGATCTAAACGAAAGGAGGGATGTTTCAGGACAGGCGTACATAAAACACAAACGTCTCTGTGGAGCTGCGTACCTTGGGTGGCGGTGGTTGGCATGGCGCCCCCGCTCTCTCTTTTCCACACATAACTGAGAGGGATGGTTCCCTTGGAGGATTTACAGCGGAGGGACACCGTAGATCCTTTCTCCTCTCCGCCTTCAACCCAACACTTTGGCACGGAGGGGGGAACTAATGATAAGACAAACACAAATCAGGTCATATACAGAGCCTCACAAAAGGCCTCAGAGTGTTTTACTGAGGTTTTATATGATGCAGCACACTTGCATAAGCGTGTGACGTGGATTTAATTCTGCTCCCCTGAGAAAACTCTTTGTAGAACAACCTCCTGCTGCAGTTACAGCTGCAAGTCTTTATGTCTCCGCAAGCGTTGTGCGTACTGAGACTCGACATGTTGTCAGTTCTTTGTAAAATAGGTCAAAGCCAGGCAGATTGGATAGAGAGCGTCAGTGAACATCAAACTTTTGAGTCATTCTACTGATCTTTAACTGGGTTTATGTCTGACTGAACGGGCTTTGATCTAAATCGGTCCACTGTGGCTGATAGTGCTATTAGCCTGTTAGCTTCCACATGTTCCCATCAGCTAGGAAGGGCTTCACTTTAACTGCTTGATGACCATTTCCCCGCAGCATGCTGCTGCCAACACCATCACTTCTTATAGCTTTTTCTCATGAATAATTTTTTTTCCCCTAATTAGTCTTTTTGGCAGACAGATAATCATATAAGTCAATAAAATCAAGAAGATTATATACATCAGTTTTCGGTCCATTCGAGTATATCTTTTTATTTTGTCTTTTTATTTTGGACACAAACCAAAATAAAAAGACAAAGTGCCTATGTTAAACCATATATAAAACCTTGACTTCTGAGCAACTCAAATTGGTACAGGAGTATCGCATATATGACATTTATCCTGTCATGTCTTCTATATCAGCAGTCCCCAACCACCAGGCCGCGGACCGGTACCAGTCCGCACAGAAAAAATATATATATTTATATTTTATTTTTTCAGAGTCTGAGTGATGTTTTATTTTGAAAAATATAAGACATTGGGGTAATATCTCCCAATTACATCAGTCGGTGCACCTGTGCCTCTTGACACAGGTTAAATCAGGTCAAGACTCATCCTATCTATAACATCCTATCTTTGTGAAGCGGGATTTTCTGCGGTTACAGCGACCAAAACAAAGCTACGGAGCAGACTGGACATCAGGAGCACCATTTGTGTGTCATTGTCTCCGATTACGCCTAGATGGGACCTTTTGTTTCAGAGAAACAAGCTCAGGGCTCCCACTAATTCAACATAATTGTGAGTTTTATTTTTATGCTGTTTGTATTTGATTTTATGCCAGTCGTATCATTTTATTTGATCGTATTTACCCCCCACACTTTAAAGGCCGGTCCGTGAAACTATTGTCTGACATATAACCGGTCCGTGGCGCAAAAAAGGTTGGGGACCGCTGTTCTATATAATTCAAAAATACCCCCCAAACCTGATTGAACCGATCGTCTCTCCCTCCACCATTGAAGGTTACCCTCTCATATAAGGCCATTTTTTTCATCAGCTCTGTCCATTCCCTAAAGCAGCAGATGTCAGCTGTTATCCAATGCCTCAGTATTATCCTACTACATCCAGTTACGGTTGCTATCGTATCCAAAGCCTCTGTCTTCCAGATAGACTAATATTCTCTGGTAACACTCCCAGAATTTATAAGGCAGGAGATTTGGAGAAATTAAACTGAAATAGATCGTGGAGTAAAAAATGTTGAGGTATGTCAGCCTCCTTCATGGCACGAAGGGGAGGACTTTTGTTTTGAGAAGGTCCATCTGGACAGTGAAAGATATATTAACCTAACAGGGAATGGCCCTGATGAACTCAAGTTGTTTTTCCTCCAAATGTTCACGTGTGAGAAAGTTCTATACAGGAGGTGGGTTGGTTCCCCGGGGGGAGGTGTGTGTGTGTTGGGATTTTAGGTAGAAATGAATGTAATGAGTTTTGCTTAGTCAGAGCCCTATCTCTCTGTCTTAGTACGTTAAATAAATTTAAACCTTATTTCTTGCAGGAAATGCCTCAGCTTCTTAAAGGAATAGTACACCCAAAACATGATTAGCCTTCATTTTCTACTCACCCCCATGCTGA